TGTTGACAAATATTAATATAATTTTAAACAAAAATTAATAATAAATGAAATATAATAATAAAATATTTATATTGTATTATTTTTTGTTTTTACAGCATAAAATAAAGTGATTATGAATACTTAAAATTATATTTTTATTAAAGAATATCTATAAATAATACATATAGATATATAGTAAGTATATATGCTTGAGTAATATAATGTAGCCAAATTGGCAAATTTACATTCTCTTATGAAATGTTATAAACGGCTTAAGATAAATGATTTGATTTCATTTTAATTTCGTTCTCTCCGTGATTATGCTTTTTTTTTTCGGTGCCATAATAAATAATAATTACTTAATTTAAAGTAATAATAACTCGTTTACAAAAAAATGATTCATTATTATTGATGACAATTTATTATTTTATTTCACTAATTTAAAAAAAAATTATTAATTTTAAAAACATTAACTTTACATTAGATTTTTTTAAGCCTAATATAACTTTATAATTATATGTTATAATTATATAGATTTTCTCTAAAATCAAATATTAATTTTAATCATAATAATTTTATAATAAAGTTAAATTAAAACTAAAATTGGATCGAGTAAAACAATTAAAAAAAATTTTTATTTGTAAAAAAGACTACTTTTTAAGAAATTACCAAGTATAAGAAGAAAATTTATTATTTAATTTAATAAAAAAATAAAAATTGAGATGATAAAGTTTTTTTTTACTTTTAAAGTTTCGCAACGATTTCATTTTAATCGAAAGGATAAAAATCGATCATTCCTTTGATCCATACCTGACCTTGATACACACATGTAAGTTGGTATTGAGCAAGATTTAAATGATTATATATTTGCAGACAGAGTTTAAAAATCAGAACATTTATTAAAAGAAGATGCAAATATAATTCATTGATTATACAAGTAAAAAATTTTAAATTTGAAACTAATAATTGTATAATTGTCTCAAAATAAATAACTTTTAATCAGTATTACTATTACATACTATTATATCATTTTTATTAATATACAATCAAAAATTAAAAAACAATAATTAATCGTCATTTTTAATTGACAAACGCAAAAAATATTATTTTTTTAATTATATAGGTGATAATCATTTTGAAACTTGTAACTTGATCTATTATTCAAAAACAGGTTTATTGTTACGATAATATTAATGATGTAGAACTCATAAATTTATATTTATTTTACGTTTTGAAATATTTATCAAATAAATAAATTTATATAATAAAAAAATTTATAATAATAATAATATCTATATAAGAATAAAACAAATAATCTTATTAATATTATTAACATAGTAACACAGAAATAAAATTGAAGATATGTAGATTAAATCGAACAATAAAATGAATAAGTAAATAGAATGAATAAATGAAACTCGATCTCTTTTTCTAGATCTCAATCTAATTTTATCATTCTATTTTTTATTTTCAGAATAATCTCATAGGATTATAATAGGAAAGTATAAATGAGATATAAAGTACTTTAAAATTGTCAATAAAAAATGAGTACGTTGTCGCAAAAAAAAAAAGAGAAGATCACCTTGATATATTTATCAAAAAAGTAAGTAGAGCAATTGCGAATAAAAAGACATGAATTCTTTACATGAAGATCTTACGTAAACAAAAAAGTTTTTATTATTTTCAACATTAATAAAACACATTTTATTTCAAATTATCATATCTATTGTTTTTTAATATTTAAAATATTGTTGAATTTTGATTGCTTTGTCATGAATGATATGATTTCATACGATTAATTCAAAAAATGTTATTTTCTCTTTTTTTAACAGGAACTCGCGTGATTTAACGTCCACATTTCGTGAGTGATAAATTTTACACGAACCCTCGAATATATGAGATGAATAACAATCGAATTCTAAAGGCACATCGACCCAACTGAATTCAATGTTTTCACTTTCGAACATTTATAATCCTTTAACATTTAAATTGTTTCATTCCATTCATCAATTATTTATTACTATTTATAAATTGATGAATTGATGCAAATTTATTTTTTAATCATATCTCACATAATTTCTTTATGATAAAAGTAAAAATTCTTCAATTAAATGTAAATAATATTTCTTTTAAAAAAAAGTAAAAGAAAATATATTATAATTAAAAAAAAAAGAAAGTTTTATCTCTATTATTAGATAATAATATTATCTATATTATTTATTGCAATCATAATTCTTAAAATAATTATTTTAAAAATTAAAAAAAAATTTAATTATTCATTTCATATAATTTGATTTATTGCTCAAAAAATTAAAAAATAATGTTTATTGTTAAAAATAAATTATAAATATATATTAATTTTAATAAATTAATTTCACAATTAATTTCATAATTAATTCAATACTAAATTTAAATATAATTTCAATGAATAATATTTTTTATTAATCAAACTGATTACAATCAAGAATTAATAGCAACCAATATCTAATTAGAAAGCAATTACTTATACTTTTATTACGTTATATTATTATTATTATTAAGTTATTTTATGAATTCTTAATGATATATAAATTTTTCTTCCAATATTTACAATTGATTACCATAATAAAAAACCTTACTTATATTATAGCGAAAACAAGACAAATAATTTTTTATAAAAATTGGGTGCTCCGAATGGTCAATCTAAAATTGCGAAACAGTGAAATTAATGACCATGTCATAGAGAAAGAGAGATGCATAAGTGCCAATTCCTATGAGGGAGCAGGTTTCTCGAAGATTGAACACGTGGAGGAGTGAAGTAGATCGACCCAGTTTTGGTCAACTTTAAGTCTTTGTTCATATGGGAGGGGTACCGGAATGATGGTTTTGTAAGAAGGGGTCCCCCTTTACTACGTGGCCATATAAGTAACGTCTGCTGCCACTGAAGAGACAGAGTCTTGCACCCCTTCGTTGATTCGAACGTCGTTTCATTTTTTGGCAATTTGAAAACCAAGGTAATTTTGATTTTGAGATTAGCCAAAAGATTTATTTTTATATTTTCAATTGTTTTATAAATAGATATTTAAATTGATAATTTACATTTATCTTATTTCCATAATAATTCTTCCTTTATAGTAATTCACTTGAAATTTATTCTAAATTATGCATACATAATAGTAGAACAAATTTCTTGCTAATGCTAATAATTCATAATGAAGATAATTTTATTCGAGAATGGATATATATTAAAATAAATTTTGCCAGAATATTTTTTTAAAAAGTAACAATGATTTCTTTCTATCTGAACAAAAAAAATTTCCTATCTTTTTTAGATATTAAAGTCAAACTCTTTATATTATTTCTCTTCAAAATATTTATTATTAATATAATTTATATTATATTAGAAATTATAACAGAAGATATAATATTAAATAAAATTTATATCTTCACTTTTCAAAATGTATAAAATTAAATTAAATTATATAAGTAATATTATAAACGATATATGATCAATTATATTAGATATTTATCATATTATTTTAGAATGCAATTTGGAATTCTCTTCTCAGTGGTAGCGACATTGCTGCAGACTAGCTATGGTGGTTTTGTATCCATCAGGATGCCGTACTTAAATCCAGCAGGTGTAACCTATATAAATAATATCGAATCTGAAGCTCAACTTGCTTATAGTATTCCTGCTAAAGTCGAAGCCCAACACATTGGATATGCAGCTGCTCAAGTTCCAGCAGTGGCTGCTGTACCTTTTGTCAAACACGTACCAACTGTCTCTCATGTACCAGTTACCAAAATTGAAGCTCAACCTGCTGTTTTGGAAAAACAATTAGATGTGGTAAAACCGGCCGTTTCTACTCGTAAATTCGAAGTAAATAATTTTTTAATTCAAGAAATTTTTTTTTTGCTTTCTCTGTCTCTCTGCCACTGACTCCTCCTAGCTTTCCCTCCTCTTTATTTCTTTTTACATTTTTTCTTTTAATTCTTATTTTAATTAGATTCTTTTATTATTATTTTTTTTCATTTATAAGAATAATCTTTAAATTTTCCTTTTTTTAATATTTAAATTTTTTTTTAATTTCACTTTAAAAACTTAAAAAATAATACTTTTCACTAGGTACGTCGTCCAGCAATTCAAAAGCAATTTTATGACATTGAAGAACGCGTAGTTGTTCGTCCAGCTGGTTCAGCAGTAGTTGAACTTGATCAACCAACTTCCAAAACTCCGAAAGGACCAGCTGTGATTCAACCTTTGATCCAGCATTTCGAAGCAACTCAAACTCTTCCATCTCCAACAATTTCTTCTGTTCCAATTTCTAATGATGATGAAACTGTTGTAGTAGAAAATCCTGAATTTCGCAAACTCAATGTTCAGAATCAGGTAAGATTTAAACTATTAATTATTAATTAATTTAAATTAAGTAATTCTTCTTTATGAATGATTAAAAATTTTTTTCTAGGCTAGTGGAAGTCTACCCCAATTAAAAACTAACTTGAACGGTGCATCGAATGAACCTCTCGTTGCCCATGATCCCTCACCAAATGTTATCGTCAGTCCCAATTCCTCTCCTGAACAAGACCAACAGAATCAGAATAGATTAATCGAATTGCTCACTGCTCGTGGCAATGTTGCTGAGGTAATTATTATTATAAAATGTTATTATGATAATATTATTATAAATTATTATAAAGATATCCCATTTTTACATTATTCATTTCTGAATGAGAAAGAACTCCAAATGAAATATTATTGCATAAATAATATAAAATAGTATAAAAGTATTAGTAATAGTATTAGAGAATTATGTAAATAGTAATTTCGTGTATAAGTAATATTGGCATACTATAATAAACATTTATAAAATTAAAAATTATTTTAAAATATTATATAATTATATAAAAATTTGCTAGTTATCTAATTCTTTGATTAACATTTTTTCAACATAATTTTTCTTAATAATTATTTCTTTGATTAAATGAAAGCTTTATCTTTAATATTTATTTATCATATTTTTTATCTATGAATATTATATTTTTAAAGGTTGGATTCGGTCGTTCAAGTTCTTCTCAATCCGCAATTGGAGATGCTGGTCAGGTTCGAGGTCGAGTAATTTCCGCCACTCCAGCTCCGGAATCTGCAGAACCAGCTGATGAACGAGTTTCTACACGACGTGTCGTGATTAGCAGACCAATTGAAACTCTTCAAGAAGTGAATGTTGTGGAACCAGCAACAAAAATAGAAAGAGTATCCGTACAACAACCTACCTTTATAAAAACCGCGCGTTTAGATCATGTTCAGGTTCACAGTTCTGTTCCTGTAGTCGGAAAAGCTCTTGCACCAACGATTGCTCATGCTGCTGTTCCAGTTTATCAGAAAACCATTTCGCCAGCTTATGAATATTATCACTAAACCACCCGACGATTTGTGATCTTACTTGTTTTCTGATGTTTTAAAATAGAATTAATGAATATATGATGTGCTATATTAGATTTATGTCTATGATTGAGTATTTATATTAAAAGAAATTAAAATTACATTTTATATTGATTTTTAAAATTTTAGAATAATTTTTATAATTTTTTTATGCAAAGAAAGATTATACATGTTATAAAATTGTATTTTTTAAATCGAAATAATTTTTCATATTATTTCTGTTAAAAAAATTATATCCTGTAAACAAATGGAAACTTTATATTTGTTTTATATTTTGAAAAATATTTATAAGTATAAAAAATAGAAGTGAAATATGATTGTTTTATTTTTTATGAAACTTGTTCATTTGAAAATAATAAAAAATATAATAATAAATATAAATAAATATAAATATAATAATAAATATAAAAAAATTTTGAAATTATTCGAGGAATTTCGAAATTTTGTTAAATTATTGATAAAAGAAATTAAAAGATTAATTAAAAAATTAATTAACTTATTAATTAATGGAATTTTATAATTAAAAGATATTCACATATTTGAAATTATATTCTTTAAAATATGTTTTGCAATATTAAACTTAAAAATTCAATAATAGTTTTTGAAATTTATATTAATTAAACTAAGTAAATTCAAAAACAACTTTATAAATTTATTTTAAAACATTTTATTTTTTATACTTTACTTTATTCTTTTTAATATAGTTAAAAATATCTATATAAAGTATTTATATGATTATTAAAAAAGGATGAAAATAATTAGATAAAATTAAACTAAAAACATAATTATTACAAGGAAATATAAAAGACTAAATGCATTCAATATTGAACAAGCTAGCTGTACAAAACTTTCGCATAACTATTTTTTCTTTCACATTTTTCATAATTTCTTTAAATCATATCCATTGTTCAAAATAAGCCGATAATGACTTCCTATAGCAAATCAATTTTGACAAGGATAACCACTGCCTCTGGATATTGCCAATAAGGACATAACATTGACCTAAATACCATTAAATAAGTATGACTTTATATCTATATTCGTTCCCTTGCTTGTTTTTTACCTTAAATAAAAATAACAAAATAATTATCAATACAAAATAATTAAGATCTTCCATACATTTAATGTTATCAATAATAGAAATAACAATAAAAATATATTTATCATATATATATATTTATTTAACACATTTATCGCATATATTCATATTATTTTCAACTTGATCAAAAGGATTATTTTATTTAAATTATTTAGATTATTACTTAAAAAAATTCTCCATTATAATAATTTTCTCGAATATCATTTAATATGAAATTGTATTAATATGAAATTTCGTTATACATTTTATCCATTATTTTTACTCATATTATATTAAAATTTTATAATAAAATTGAAATCAATATATAATTTAATTGTAACATTCATGATGATGAATGATGAAAAGATTTAAATATTTGTAAGCTCATATTTTCGAAGATCAAATAATATTTATTTAAATAATATATTAAATTATAAATATTATATAAATATTATATAAATATATTACATATTATTATATTAGTTAAGCTTACAAACAAATGATTTATGCAATTTAAAAATCAAATAATCGAAAAAGATTTGCATGAAATTCAAACGTGACAGAAGAAAGCGTAGTCTGTTATATGATTACTGCACAAGGAAAGTAAGGAAACTTGAAATTGCAAATGCTATATACTGTACAATATATGTTTATCATGTAGTAATATAGTGAATTGCAACTCGAATTCAATCGTTAATAAAGACACGTATATATGTTACCTGTACGCATAATAATAAAAACCGAAAAACTATGTTGACCAAAAAAATCTTTAAAAATCTAAATAGGCTGTTGAAACTTACTAATCATGGAACATACATAACATAACAGTAAATCTAAAATTTTTTTCTTTAAATTGCAAACGTTAACTAATAAATAATTAAATTTTATTATTATTTAATATATCACTTTTTTTATTATTATTTTTTTTTTTTAAGTTCAGAATTTAGAAAATTTCAAAATTTTTGTTATATTTTTAAATTATAATTTAAAAATATTCAACACTATTCAAATTTGTTAAAATGTCAATTTCACAATGAATTTTTAATAATTTCACTAAAAAAAATTTTAAAGAAAAAGAAAATTTAAGAAAAAGATTATTATTAAAAGATTATATCAAGAAAATAAAAAAATGTAAAAATCATTGTTGATTTTTAAATTTTATATAAAAATTTTCTAATATTATTTTTTAATTAAATATATCATTTTCTTAAATATTATTTTTCTCTATTTGTAAAATTTTGCAATATTATTCTTGCAATATTTAATACTATTTTTGATCACTATAAGTAAAATAATAATATGTATAATAGCTAATACAGGAATAAATAAATTCAAAAAATAATAAAAATTTTGACACACTATAAAATGAATTTCCGAACATGTAGAAACATTATACCCACTAAATTTCACGGTATACATCGATTTGAATCGAGTGACTGTTTTTAAAATACGACTTTTAACAAATTCATCGTGCGTAAACTGATGAATCGACCGAATGCCGCGCCTATTGAATTACTATTCTTTCAAAGAAAGTGAAAACCAAAAAAAAAGTTTCAAAATATTCTATACAAGACAATATGTTTCAGCTTACTTGTATTTTATTGATTTATAACTCACTCATAGAAATTCTATCGTTGTTACTGATGAATTCTCAATTAATTTTTAATCAATTATAATTATAGAACTATTAAGAAATTAAAATAAAAAATTTCAAAGTTATAAACAATGATGAAAGAAAAGAAGAAAGGAATAAGACTTTTTAAAAATTTCTAAAGAAAAAAACAATAAAAAAAATTTTTTCAAAAAGAAAATAATTAGTAAAATACAAAAAGATTTAACAAATTTTAAATTCAGAACAATATAAGTCTTTTATATTTTAAATATTTATCATTATATTTTTTCATAAAAACAATCTTTTAAGATGATTTTTCTTCTAAAATTTACTTACTTTAATATAACTCTCAAGAATCAGAAAGATCGTAGATATATACGCAGGCAATGATTATGATTTGAAGGGATCTTCACCCTTGAATTGAAGGAACGAATGACCTCGTCAATAAGGCCGGTAGAACAAGTCAGAAGACAGATAATGACCAAGAAAACGTCAACAGTAACCTTAGTAACTTGTATTGAAGTAACAGCTACTATATAAGTAACACTGTAATGGATCTTGAATTCAGTTAGACATGCGCAAGAGAAATAACTAGATCTGTGGGCTAAATAATCAAATGTTCAAGAGGTGAGTGTGCTTGCGCAGAAAATCGAGGATTGATCGAAGTACAAGAAAAAAGAGAGAATTTCTGTCAAGAGGATCAGCGATTTAACAACTCATATTTAACAATTATAGTGTATAGCTCAAAATCTCACGAGAGAAATATTGAAGTTTCTGTGTTAAACATTATTTAGTATATGTGAATTGAATGATAATATAAAAAAAGTGATATATGAAGAAAAACTTTTTCGTGTAATTTTGAGCAATGTACTGACACATGCGTAGAATAAAGTTCAAATTAGAGTACTGATTCATCTATTGTGAATTCCTTTCTTTTTTTAATATCTTAATTTATAATAATATCTTTTATTATTTTCTTTTATTATAAACCCGTTATGATCTATATATCTCATATTCCTTGTTTGGAAAAGTGATTATAGCAATAAAACATTCAAAATTAAAAATTTTAAAACCATCTTTTTTTTATAATTTTAAAATGACAAAATTGTAGTTTAAAGTGGACGAAGTTTACTCTTTCCAGAATCTTGCACAAATATGAATATATTAATTGTACTTATGATCGTGATGGGATTATGTCTGGCCTCACCACAATATTATCTTCCCTCGGGATTCGTGTATCAACATCCAGCAAATCTATTGAATTCGGCAATAGAAGATACTTTACCAAATGAATTACGAAATAATTTTTACAAAAATCCGCAAATTGCTGCCAAACTCGCAAAAGAATCATGGATTTTCAACAAAGAAATGCAGGTAAAATTTTTGTTAATTTTAACATATTTCTTTTATAACATTATTAAAATATATTACAATTAATAAGTAAAGTGTCAATTGATTTTGAAACGAGGTTGATGGATTTAGTTCTGAAATCTGAGAATACGACCTTCACTACTCTCTCTTTACCGATTTTATCTCTATCTTTTATTGATATATCGCATTTCGTTATAAATTCGTAGTATATGTATCTAATACTTCGTAATATTTTTAATCTTTTCATTTATTGTTTTTTTATCAAAAAAAAATAATTTATATTAATATTATTTCTTGATATTTTTTTAATAAATATTCTAATATTATCATTTTTCAAATATTTTATTAATGTTTCTTTATAAAAATTTAATGATATACTAATGATAATGATAATAAACTAATGATACATTCTAATTATAATGCTTTTCTTTATTGTAGGTAATCGATCGTGAAACAGATAAAATACCACGGGAAAAAGTATATAATGTTCTTCACAACGCAGGATTTGTTCGAAAATAAAAAAATAATAAAAAATTCTTAATAATTGTTTTTTTTAATTTTTTATGACAATCTTTCTAGATCCTTCTATATCATTCTTATATTTTTTTATTAATATTTATACATTATTTTATTATTTTTAAAATTATTTGAAAAAAAAATATAATTATTATGAAGAAAAATTATATAACAAATTATAATGTATAATGAATTTTCTACTATTTTATAATTTAAAATTTTATTTTCAAAATATAAACAATTGATATATATAATTGGTATCAATTTTTAACGCGCATTATTTAAAATTAAATATGTATGGATGCATTATATTATATAATGCATATTCATATTCATAAAAATTATAAATTTAAAAAAAATTAAAACAAATATTTTTTATCAAACCTTTTAATTAAGTATTATTAAAATCAAAACTGTTTAATTAAGTATTATCAGAGTCAATTCAGAAATATAAAGAATTTAATTACATACATATATATTTTATTTATTAATTTAATTGTATAAACATAAAATGTATAAAAGATTCAAAAATAGATTATCATATTTTTATAAAATTTTATCATTATATTATTTTTGTTTGCATAATTTATATTTTTCAGAAGATTCTAATAAAATATCTATAATGGATATATCTTCACCCATTATGTAAAGTGACTTTTTGTGAATAGCTTGATACACATTAGTATGTAAAAAACTATGTATTTTTTCTAAATAATTATCTATTTCATTTGCATATAATACACCTTTGCTTTCATAACGTAAAATATGTGGATAACAATTTTCAATTACGCGATTTAGATATCGCGCTATATTTATTTCGCCTATTATTTTATGCATTCCTGGTAATTGCATTATGGGATCAATACCAATTTCTTTCCAAATTATTGTTAAGTGAATGTCATTAATTTGATTTCCTTTTTTATATTCCAAACAAAAATCTGATAACTCGTTTGGAAAATGTTGCACACTGGAATGTACATGAGATGTCACAAAAATGTTAACGTAAGATTTTACATAATGAAAAAATAGTTCTATAAATCTGATTGGATATTTTGGATCACAAAATAAAACAAGTTTTTGCTTTTCGAATTTTTCGGTACATTCAGATTCTTTTTCAAGTTTGTTTATTTCTTGTTTCATGTCTTCAAGCTTCTTTGTTTGAGAAGAATTGTGACTAATCCTGTCAGAAAGGTATATATATCGTATTTATTTTATTTGTTTACTTATTTAATAAATAAAATTTTATACATTGAATTAAATAAATTTAATCTACAAAGTTTTTATCATAAAATTATAAATTCATTTTAATTTCAATATTGTAATTACTTGCATAAATATTTTAATAATAATTAGAAAAATATTTACTTGTTTAAGCGACAGATAGGATTGTTATAAACCATTTCCAAATCTACTTTTGGTCCAACTAAATCTCGTATATTATTCAACCCATATTTAATCATAGTTGGTCTAAGAAAAAACATATATTAAAAATTTAATAATATATTCATGATACAGATATTAACTATAATATAGATATTAATTATTTTTCTGTTACCTTTCTAAAGATAATCCCCAAGCAATTACATTTACATCTTTAGGTAATCCCATTGGTAATAACATTTCTGGTCTGAACATTCCACTATTACCAATTTCTATCCATTTTTTCAAGCCTTCATGATAACAAAAAATTTCCATACTAGGTTCCGTATATGGATTATATGCGGGTTTGAACTGAAGCTGCGTAATACCAAGTTTCTTAAAAAATTCATATAAAATTCCTATCAAATCACCTAATGTGAGATTATAATCTGCAATAACACCTTCAATTTGATGAAATTCGGCTAAATGTGTAGCATCTAAAGTTTCATTACGGAATACTCGATCAATACTGAAATACTTCACTGGTTTAAATTTATTCTGAAATTTATAGGATTATATTTCTTAATTTTTAAATTGACATTTAAATTTTTTATGTAATTACCTGTTGCATAAGCTTATAAAGCATTCGTGCACTAACTGCTGTTGTATGAGTACGAAGAACATTTTTTTGAGCTTCCTCAAGTTTCCAATCATAACGATAACCAAGAGATCCATAGTCTCCTTCACTATGAACTTTTTTTACCTTTTCCATATAATCTATGGAAAAGTTTGTACTGTGAGATGGTTCTGAAATAATATTTTATCCATATTAATTAAACACGCTTAATTTAATTAAATATATATATATATATATATATATATATATATATATATATATA